AAGCATCTTGTCGCCTGCGTTTGCACCACGCATAAGTTAAACATCAAATGCGGCAGAGTCTGATGCGTATCCGAGTGACGGCACAGAAGCCGATACAGCACGAACGTCACGCTTCCCCAACGCAGCAGTGACGTGCGCGCGCTCCGCCGTGCCGGGCAGCAGGGGCAGGGTGTACCCCGGCCTCCCCTGCTCGCTCTGGCCTCCGCAGAGAAGGCCGGCACCTCCGACCAGCGAGTGCCACCGGTGTCACCTGTTACTTCTTGTGCTTACGCTCCCCGATACTAGGCAAGATGCTGCCGCCTGCAGCAATCGTGCATGTAAGTACTGGCCACGCTGATAAACTGAATTAATTTTGTAGGCAGCGGCGTGCTTGCCTCTAGTACGTCAAGCAAGTAACGCATCACTGTGCTCGACTCCATGGAACTGAGCCTTCTGCTGCCCTGCGGTCGTGTCTGGGTATGGGTATGAAACGCAACAGAAGAGCACTGGCAGAGATTCCCAAAACATCAAATTCAGGCATCTCGGGCCCCAAAAATGTGATTAACACTCCCCTTACCCAAACAGCAGGCAAGCAGCCCGGAGCCAACGCTTCCTTCTGGTTCGTGCTCTCCCAGTATCGATGAGGCTCCGGCGGTGAGCCCAGGCCTGCCGAACTAGCAGCGCCTGTCTTTTTGGTCGAGCTGCAGGCGTGCAGCCTATACATAGGCACAGGACAGTTTGCAAACCCTGCTGGGTTCCAACATCTGCCGTTCTTCTTCTGGCGGTGTCCTCACCGTGACATCTTTCCAGCCGTGTCAGGCCTCTGTGCTAGGCAGAGGCGACCAGCGTGCAGAGCGGGGAGCGGCTCTGTGCAGACCCAGCTGCCACACCTCCGACGACTGCTTCACGAGCGCTTTGAAAGGGTGCACAGAGGGCTGACAAACCACCTGGCTTGAGCTGTCGTCTTGGTTGCTGCCTTAGCTACTTGAGTGTCTTTCTCTCTTTTCTCCTGTAATTCTTCATGTGATCAGCTACATGTACGTGGGAAAATAGAGATTTCAAATTAAAATGCTATCAAAGAACCCATCCCAAAAGAAACAACCGAACTAGGGCACAGCTCTATGAAGTTCTCTGTTTTTTTGTTTGAGAAACTGTAATGAAATCCCAGTGTCCTAGTTTCATCTGCTGAAAAGGCTCTATCTAAGGCTCTATGAAGCGAACATTTCATGCGCTGTCAGCCCTCTGTAGTGCAGGTAGCACCTGCAGTACAGGCTGAAGACCGCAGACAAGCTTGTGTAGACAAGCTGAAGCTTGTGCAGTGACTGATGTGGGTTTGCTTTTCTTTTTTGGCCCTAAAGACTGCACTGTAGCACCTTAACAATTTGGGCTGGCTGGTTTTCTCCGTGTGTGGACAAAATAATCTCATTTGTAGTTTATGGTAAATGTTAGTCTTCAAATTTGGTAACAGGAGAGAATGAATACGTCAAAAATCATACTCATCTTGACTGTAAAGGACAATAAGCTGATGTGACATGGTCTAGTGGTCCAGGGACTGAGGGGAAAAAAACACACACTGAAAGAGTTTTGATGCTGTCTCTTTCTTGCACAAGGCAGATCTATCCCCCAGCTGTATAAGTTGCAAACTGCAGAGAAAATAAGAGCAATAGCTGCTTTG